CATTGTCTCCATGAAAAAATAACTTCAGTTAAACTATCTGCCTTTCTAGTATGGGAGGGTGTTGGGGGGAAAAATACACAAAAATATGCTGACTGTTTTCTCTCTATATTTGTTATCACAAACTTCACATAGGCATTCCACTCTGCCAACAAATTCTACAGTGGTCCTGGTAAGTGTGCCAATTACTCTTCAAGATGATTATTTCATACCTTCCTCTCTCTCTTCAAGACTCCCACAGTCCACAGTCCAAGTCTCCACACTTCCATTTTCTCATCACCAATTCTACAAACATCCTTGAATCTGCATCCATATCCCTGCCCTCTGTAAGAGAAAGATGTGGCAATCTGTATCTGTAAAGACTTCAGCCTTATAAACTCTGTGGGGGAAGTTCTACAGTGTCCTGTCGGGTTGCTATGAGCCAGAATGGACTTGATGACAACAGGCATCTTTTTATCATGGAATAAGGGTGGGTGGGAGCTCTGGTGGCATAGTGTCCAAGGCATTTGACTGCTAACCAGAAGGCTGGCAGTTGAAACTCAACAGCCACTCCTCAGAAGGAAGGTTGGGCAATCTACTTCCTTAGTGATACCACCTTGGAAACCCAAGGAGGGGTCACTATGAGTGGGATCCAACTCCACGGCAGTGTGTTGCATTTGCGTTACTCCTGTCAAAGCCCAACCTTGCACTTGTGCTCTTTCATCTTCTGTTCTCATTCCCTGCCCTTCCTGAATCAACTTCCACCCTCTACTGGGTCATTCTTAATACCAAATGAACATGGTAAGTATCTCTCATTTTTTAAAAAAATAAGTTTCCTTCATTCTAAATTATCTTCCATCTTCCACCCAATTTATCCATTCCTCTTCAAAGAAGAACTTTAAACAATTGTCTACAGAGATTGGCTTCTTTTATTCATCTCCAATTACCATTACTTCTCCTTTCCATCTGCCTTTTGTGACTGGCATTCTGTAGAATGCTACGCTTGTTTAGATCTGTGACTTACCTCCCAAATTATTTGATTTCCACCTACTAACAGCATGTGACATCACTGACTACACTTTTATTCTTTAATCATTTCTCTCTCTTGGTTTTTATGGACACCATTCTTTCTTGATTTTGTTTTTTTCCTATCTCCCTGAATTTTCCTTCTCTACCTTCCTTACTGGTCCAGTCCTCTCTTTTAGACTTCTAAATGTAAGCAACTCCAGGCTTTTCTCTGTCCTGCAGATCCACTGGTAACATGTGCCTATTTAATGTAAAATAATTAAAATAAAATTTAGTTCCTTAGTCACACTAGCCAAATGACAAGGGCTCAGTAGCCATATGTGGCTAGTGGCTATCATATTGGATAACACATATATAAACATTTCTATCACTGCATAAAATTATATTGAAAGGACTAATCTAACCTCCCTCAGTTCTGTGGCTCTAAATACCATCTCTATATGGAAGAGTTTTAAATTTATACATTACCTCTAGTCCTTGACTAAGCTTCACATTTATACATGAAACTGCCTATTTGATATAACCACTTGGATACCTAAAAGGCTATTTAAACTAAAGTCCAAAACAGAACATTTCATTTTCATCTTCTCTTTTCCCTCATTCCCAACCCAAACGCTTGCTTCCCTTCCAGTCTGCCTATTGTTAGCAAATGACACCATTGAACAAGTTTTGAATTCAAAAATCTAGGAGCCATCCTAAGTCCTCCTTTTCCTTCACTCCAATACTTAATCCATTAACCAGTTTTATTTATATTTCAAATCTTCCCTCAGATCTATCTCCACTGCCATCTCGCTAGTCCAATGTTCTTGCTTGGACAACTCTCCCATTCATATGACTTCTTTTCCACCTAAAACAGTGTCTAGCACATAGCAGGTGTTCACTAAATATGTTGAATAAATCAACCACACAATTCTTCTTAATAGTGCAAAATAATCTTACTTAAAAATATTTAACACTATGTATGAATATTAAATATTTGACATTGAAACTTTAAGAAATAGATTAGAGAAGATAGTAAAAATAATCTCTGAGCAGACTTGATTTATGATTATGGGTCATATACCATTATTCATTTTGTCAATTATTAATAATTTTTAATGCTTTTCATAGTGCTATAATTTACCTCCATGAATTTGTTATGTGCATTGTTGTTACTCACCTCCCTAAGATAAATTTCAGTTGCTGCTGCTTCTGCTTATTCTTGTCTTTCCTGATTAATCCATTACACCTTCTTGACCTCTTGATTACATATTCTGTGCCTGTCACAGCCCAGGACTCAGCTTACCCAACAGGTATTTATTTTGTTCAAGAGTTCCCAAGTCCTTGCCAGCCACCTAGCTCCTTCCTGCAGTCTTCAACTTCATTGTCAGGAAAACTGAACAGTTGGACCCTAAACTTAATTCAGAATAATTCAGCTCCGAACAATGTCTGCTACCCCACCCTCTTTTATTCTCCACATTTACTGTCAGCTCCCAAATGCTTGATGACCCCTATTCATTCCAGCTGTACACCAAGGAAGTCAAACCGATTTTCCTACAGATACTGGTAATGACAGTAGTGAGGGGAATGGAATAATGAGGAATGCAGGAGGGTCTCTAAGTATTAAATCTTCCCTAATTTGTACCTTAGGGCCTGAAGCCTAATAGTCATTAATATGCCTGACATCTGTATTGCATGTATCAGTTTACAAAGCCATTTCAGATGTATTATTTTCATAGCTGTTGTTTGCCTACCAAATAATCATCCTTCCTCCACCCTCTCCCAATTTTTCCTTTAAGGGGATGCCCATTTTGATCTGTATCCACCCTGCATCAAATGGTCATATACTATAGCGGAGTTGTATATCATCCTCCACCCTTACCCTAGCCAGCTCTGGAGTCTCATTCCCTCAATGCATAGCCAAGTGATACAAATATGGACAAAAGGAGTTAAAGAAAATCTGCTATGAGGGTTTTGGGAAAGGTTTCCTTGCCCTTTGGTGGGGGGAAAAAAGACCCAAGGACAATATAAAACCTCTTTTTTTGTTGTTGTTGTTCTGGAGGTTAACCTGTCTGGGTGTAATTTCTGGGACCACTAAAGTCTTCTTTTGGGAGCTCTGGTAGCATAGTGGATAAGACACTTGCCTGCTAACCAGATGGCTGGCGGTTCAAACCCACCAACCACTCCTTGGAAGGAAGGTTGGGCAATCCTACTTCCGTAGTGATACTGCCTCGGAAACCCAAGGAGGGGTCGCTATGAGTCGGGGCCGACTCGACGGCACATAACAACAACAACAAAGTCTTCTTTTAAGTATGAAAGGAGCCAGCCTTAAAACGAAGCCATTGCTGGAGATGGCACAGTGGGCAGATAAAAGAAAACGATATCCCTTGTAACGTTCTTGAGTTGTTTTTCATCCTGTGCCAGAGGCTCTACCTCTGCTTCAAACTATGTATTTGCAACCCCAGGGGATTCTGATTCCATCCAAAATTTGAGATGCACTGGCTTCTAAGATCACAGCTATAATTTGTCTTTACCACTACTAGCTAACTGATCTTTGACAAATTGTTTAACCTTAATGGACTCTGTTTCTCTACTTGAAAAGAGGAGATAATATTCACGTTATGGCCTTATTGTAAGGATGTAGGATTAAGAATATGTGTTGGAAGGCTGAATATGGGAAGGAATGACGTCCATGAGCCAGAAAACAATTTAACCCATAAAGCCCCTAAGTAAGTATTTTCCAAACATACTAACACATTGGTCAGATATGCTGATCCCAGTCCCTTCCCCTGGAGAGTCATGTTCAATAGCTCTGTGGTGGACCCAGGAGTCTGAATTTTTAAACACACACTCCAGACTCTAGGCAAATCAAGTTGAATTGAGCAAAGACATATACGATATAGTACCACTGTGCAGTAGGAATCAGGATTCCTGGTTTCCGATGCTAGACCCATATGTCACTTGAACAAATTGCAACACTTTTCTTGACCTTCTTACTCATCTGTCTTTCCTAACTTCACAGGTCTATGGGCGACTGAGGGCAAATTGCATTGAGGTGAAGCGGCTTCTCCAATCTCAGTATTTTTATGTGGCTGTATGTAAAACTGGGTTTGGGGAAAGTGTTAGCAGATCATCATATTGGCTGAGGGCATGAGAACCAAACTGGGAATGGTTTATGATAAAATTAGTTGAGTATTAATTGTAGCAACTATGTCTTTTCTATCCTGCTATACTCAGCCCTGGGAGCTCTGGTGGCATAGTGCCCAAGGCACTTGACTGCTAACCAGAAGACTGGTGGTTCAAATCCACCAGCCACTCCTCGGAAGGAAGATGGGGCAATCTACTTCCGTAGTGATACTGCCTTGGAAACCCCAGGAGCACTGTGAGTCAGGGCCGACTCCACGGCACATAACAACATACTCAGCCCTGGGTTTCTTCTCCTCTCAGGAACATGGAATAATTAATTATAAGTGGTAACTCTCAACTAGTCTAGTCACACTGTCTTGAGACCTATGAAAATCCCTAGAAAAGTTAAAAAGTGTGTGTTGGAAAAGAGGCAGCTTGGGTAGGGGCCCTGATTTCAATTTTTTTTACTTGGTTATGTTTTACTGGCAAACATTTTCCTCTATGTCTGTTTCTAACAGAAGCATTTTCCTAGACAGTTTAAAAAAAAAAAAAAAAAAGGCGACGCACGCCATTAGTGTCAGACGGACTTCACTAAGTTGGTAGAGCTGAAACACCTCATTTAGGAACTTTGAGCCTTACAGGCACCTGACCTTTGACACAGGAGTAAACAGAACTTGCTCAGGACCTAACTTTTCCTTGTTTGTTTGCCTTAGCGCAGCTAGGCTTAGCCGAGCCCAGAGTTGCGTCGGTAGAACTTAACTCCTCCCAGTTCACGCAATCCGAGTTCACCCTAGTAGATATTTGGCCTCCTCGGCGCCCGTAGTTTTGTACTTTACACATCAGTTGTTGATTTCCCAGGAAGTAGTACGCGTGCTTTTTTTTTTTTTTTTTGCATGGCGTGGGCACTTTTACTAGCAGCGCTGGGAGGAGGAACTGTGGCGGCGGTCTTCATAGCAGTGCGGCTGTGGGTAGTGCTTCGTGACCGAGTTGTTGTGCCTCGTGAGTCTCTCAGCGTCTTGGTAGTGGCAGGGTCCGGTAAGTATCAAGGCGGTGAGAGCCGGATTTGATCCTTTACTACAAAGCCCAGAGTGCATCACGACGTTGCTGGCTGATCTCCCTAGCACCACTTGGAGTATTGCATGCTGAGATTTGTAGTTTCTCTTCGTTACTTGAACGTGTCACTCCGTCTGGGGGGAGGGGGGAGCTACTGAATGTGGTTTGCTGCTGCGGTCCAATAAAACCCAAACTCGGTGCCATCAAGTGGATTCTTACTCATGGCGACCCCATATATGACGGAGTAGAACTGCTCCATAGGATTTTTTTGGCTCTGATCTTGAGGGAAGTAGATTGCCAGGCCTGCTGCGGTCCAGGCCTCATTTAATTTCCATACACTTAATTAACTTACACTTACCTGTAATTAAGCGTGTCTGTTAGGTATATTTTTTCTGACAAATAATTAGTGAATAGGACGCAGAAACATTTTGATACTAAGATGCAATTTCTTTGTATGAAAATTGCTGTTTTGCATTATTAATTGAGGCATTCTGTATTTAGTTTAAGGAGCTCTGGTGGTCTGGCTGCTAACCAAAAGGTCGGTAGTTCAAACCCACCCGCTGCTCCACAGGAGAAAGATGGGCACTCTGCTTCCATAAAGATTTACAGCTTTGGAAACCCAATGGGGGTCGCTATGAGTGGGAATGGATTCAATGGCAGTCAGTTTGGGTTTTCTGGTTTCGTATTTAGTTTGTTGTTGTTGTGTGTCATCGAGTCGGACCCGACTCATAGCGACCCCTCCTTGGGTTTCCGAAGTGGTATCGCCACAGAAATAGATTGTCCAGCCTTCCACTCCTCGGAAGGAAGGTTGGGCATTTAGCACACGTGAATACTACATGATAAATGAGGCAAAGTGAATTGTCATATTTATAAGTATACGAAATCCACAAGGATGAACACAATTTTTTTAAGGACAAAATGGGCACTGATCCGATTGAATCTAGCTTTTACAAAGCTCATTTACTCTGCATTGTCAGGAGAATGTTCTGATGGGGACAAGACAGAAATAGGGAGACAAATAGAAGTCTTATGAATAATTCAGGTGACAGATGATTGTGGCCTGACCAGTATAATGGCAGTGGGGATGGAGAGATACAGGAGAAAAAAGCCACAGGAATAATGAATTGAAACTAGAGGGCAAAGGATGGGAAGGCTCAAGGATTGTGTTCAGGTTTCTGGCTTGAGCAAAGGGATGAATGTTAGAGCCATCCACTTGACGGTATTAAATTTGATGGACTCAACGGCACTTAACGACAACAACAACAACAGGAAACAAAATTAAGGAGCCCTGGTGGTACACTGGTTAAGCGCTCACCTTTTAACCGAAAAGTTGCCAGTTCAAAGCTACCAGCCATTCTGTGGGACAAAGATGTGGCAGTCTGCATTACAGGCTTGGAAACCCTATGGGGCAGGCTAATGTTTTTTGTTTTTGTTTTTTTTGAGGAATCAAAATTAAGATTGAGAACTCATCTGGCAAGTGGTGCTCTCAGGCATTCAAATCTTTCTGGGTAGGGAGGGGTCAAGGGCCTCTGTCATGCAAGTCAAGATTTGTAGTAGTAGTGCCTAAGGCATTTGACTGCTAACCAGAAGGCGGGTGGTTCAAACTCACCAGCCACTCCTCAGAAGGAAGGTTGGGCAACCTACTTCCATAGTGATACCGCCTCGGAAACCCAAGGAGGGTTGCTATGAGTTGGTAACGACTCCACAGCAGTGAGCTTTTTTAAGATAAACAGTTTAATGGCTCATGTTCAAAATTTTGGAGGAGGAGGAGGAAAGCATTTTCAGTGTTTACTTTGATGACCAAGCAATGTTTAATCTTTAGATACCATGAAATATTATTAAGAGAACACTTATATTCAGAGAATATCTATCAAAGGATAGGAACACCATATGATCACCTTAGGCCAAATTTTATATTTAATATTGAGTTCTTGTTCATCCCTTCAGTCAGTAGCAGTGGGAGTGCCTGCTTTTATCTAGGCACTCTGGTAGCATAGTGCCTAAAGCATTTGACTGCTAACCAGAAGGCTAGTGGTTCAAACCTACTATCCACTCCTCGGAAGGAAGGTTGGGCAAGCTACTTCCGTAGTAGATACTGCTTTGGAAACCCAAGGAGGGGTCACTATGAGTCAGATCTGACTTGATGGCAGTGTGTTTGGTTTGGGAGTAACAAACAAAAATTCCCATCCTGCTTTCTACTGTGGCAGAGGTGGGAGGGAGACAAAAAACTAGACTACACAATAAATTATATAGTGATAAATAATATGAAGACAATAAAGTAGGGAAGAGGAAGTGCATTTTTAGCAGAGTTGTCAAGGAAAACTAGAGTGCAGAGCTGGTACAGTAAGAATGTGCCTGCTTTGTTGGAAGAACAGTAAGGAGGCCAAAGCAGCCTGAGTAAGTGGGGAAGAGGGAGATGAGGTCAAAGTGGTAACAGAGTGGAGAGTCAGATTACAAGGAGCTCTGGTAGCCTAGTGCCTAAGCCACTTGACTGCTAACCAGAAGGTTGGTAGTTCAAACCCACCAGCCATTCCTCGGAAGGAAGGTTGGGCAATCTGCTTCCGTAGTCCACTATACTGCCTTGGAAACCCAAGGAGGGGTCGCTATGAGTCAGGTCCGACTTGACGGCACATAACAACAAGAAGTGAGATGGGAAGCCACCTGAGGGTTTTGAGCAGAGGTAAATAATTTGATCATTTCTTGTGATAAAATCACATTCAACATTGTGTTGAGAACAAACTGAAGGGGAAGAGGGGTGAAGCAGGTCAGGAGGCTGTGGTCATGATCCATGTGAGAGATGATGGTAGTTTGTAGCAGGTAGAACCAAAGGAGATGGTGAGAAATGGTTGGATTCTAGATACGTGTACGTGTTAAGGTAGAGTGGAGAGATTTTCATTCCCAAAGAAGGTATCTTACTAAAAACCTTAAGTGGAAGACAAAGCCCTTTATTTTAATAACATTATTTAGTTACAAGGTTAAATTTTTAATGAATGTATTCACTGAGGGTTTCATTAAAGAAAAAAAAAGATTGTTAAAACAAGTACAATGAAGTTTTTTAAAAAATATGTTTATTTTTGTTGTTGGAAATATATACAGCAGAACATACACCAATTTAACAATTTCTACATGTACAATTAATTCAGTGACATTGGTTACATTCTTCCAGTTGTGTAACTATTCTCACCATTCTTTACTGACTTGTGCTTCTCTCATTAACACAAACTCACTGCTCCCTGTATTTCCAATCTGATCTTTCAAGTTGCTGTTGTCAGTTTGATCCCTTACAGATAGATCTTAAAAAAGCACAATATTCAAGGCAGCTATTCTTTATTAGTTAAGCTAAACTACTGTTTAGTTTTAAGAAGGCTTCAGTGGGTATTTTTGGTTTAAGGTTTAAAGATTATCTCAGGGCAGTAGTTTCAGGGGTTCATCTAGTCTCCATGACTCTAGAAAGTCTGGATTCCATGAGAATTTGAAGTTCTGGTCTGTATTTTCCCCCTTTTGATTAGGATTCTTATATAGAACCTTTGATCAAAATGTTCAGTAATGGTAGCCGGCACCGTTCTCTGTTCTCGTGGCAAAGGAAGTGGTTGTTCATGGAGGCAATTAGCTACACACTTCATTTCCTCTTCCTATTCTTGACTCTCCTCTGTTGCTCCAGGTGAAGAGAGACCAATGTTAGGTACAGTGCAGTTTTAATTGCAGTGGAATGTGTGATTGTTAGGTTTCATCTTTATTGTTCCATCCATGAAAGCAAGTACCTGCTTTGCAAACCACCCTATTTTTCAAGGGTATAAGTAAAGATATTAAAATGACTATAAATCAGATGTGTAAATTACTTGCCTTAGGCAAGAAGTTGGGAAACAATTTTTCAAGTTAAAGTATGGTTCTAATTTGAAAATTACGTTGAATGTATCCCACTTTTATTTCTTTACTGAATTCCTTCTAGAATCTAGAGAGGGCCCCTTTCCTTTTTACTGTAAAAGAAAAATCTGTTAATTTGAATATCACTTAATTTGTTCGGTTATCCTTCTATATGTTCACTGTATCACTGTTGGAACTTTTTCTTACAGCAGTAAGGGAGATGGGGGTGGAGGGTGCTTTATAGGTGGGGGAACAGCATGACCAGAGGCATGGATGAAATAACAAGTGCAGAAATGGTAAGGGCATAACCTGGCCAAAGCAAAGAGATTGTGAAATGAAACTGAGTATGGTATGGCATGATGGGGCTCATTGATAAGATTTTGAAATGCTTTGTTTGGATTAAGTGAATTTAATCTGACATTTACAGTTAATCTTGTAGGCAGATGTTCTTTAGCTTTTTGCCAGGAAGGAAACTTCCATGAGCACAGATGATTTTTAAATTTATGCTTTTTGTGGTTTGTTTTTTAATTGTGGTAAATATATATACCATAACATTTGGCATGTCAACATTTTTTATAAGTACAGTTTTGGAGACTGTATGATTTCAAAAATTAAACATAAAATTGTTTGGCAAAGCTGGCCAGTCTTTCTTGTAGACCTGCGTTGCGCCAAGAACTGTGCTTGGCACTGGGGACGTAGAGGGGAACAAAATGCTTCCTTGGGAAGCCCTGCTGGTCACTGCTCAGTCTTCCTTACCTTCTTCACACAGAAACCTTCAATGACTGACTTCCCATTTTTATTTCCTCCTTTCCTGACCTGACTTCACCCTCACCCTTCTTCCTAGTATTCCCACCATCCCTTGAACTCATATATATCAGGTCTCATCCCCTAAAATTCCCCACCCCTGCCCAGTAGTCTCCCTAGTCTTGTCTGTCCATAATTTTCACCTCTCAAGTCATCCCTCAACCATTACCAGGGATCTTCTCTACTCTGCTGGCATTAGTTTTTCATAACCATTTGCTTGTCCCCACATTTTAATTTTTCTTGCTGTTTTGGATCCCAGTTTATCATGGAGTGTGTGTGTCTCATAGGTTGAACAATCTACTCCTGTAGTGATACTGCCTCGGAAACCCAAGGAGGGGTTGCTTTGAGTCGGATCTGACTCAATGGCAGTGGGTTTGGTTTTTATAATCTTCTGCCCCCTCCGTATGAAGGAACTATTTATACAAGGGCACAGATTAATGTTTATAAATGTTCCTTCTGCTTCTTGAGAAATAACACAGTTTCAATGTGTGTGTGTGTTTTTCAAGAAAACATAATATTGCTATGACATGGTCAAATGGAGACTTATGTCCACAGTCAGTTTCTTAATCTTAGACCTTACAACATTTTTTCAGGTGGGCATACCACAGAAATCCTGAGACTGCTTGGGAGCTTGTCTAATGCTTACTCTCCAAGACATTACATCCTTGCTGACACTGATGAAATGAGTGCCCATAAAATACGATCTTTTGAACAAGATAGAGCTGAAAGATACCCCACTACTATGGTAAGTGATCATTTCTGTTTCTAAGACTGATTCAACTTGTGCATTGTGTTTGTTATGTCTGAAAATAATATCATGACACTTATGTTCCCCTGCCTAACTAGGCATTCGAATGTTGATTGCTGATGAAAAATATTCCTTCTACTACCAAGATATAAGAGTTTCTTAAAAATAAATCTACAAATAAAAGACAGTTGCTTAATTTCTTATGTTTTCTTTTATTCTTTTAAATAGAGAAAATGCTTTTTTAATTAATTCCAATTGTGAAAGTTGTTATTTACATCTATGTACATAAAGCTCTGGTAGCATAGTGCCTAAGGCACTTGACTGCTAACCAGAAGGCTGGCAATTCAAACCCACCAGCCACTCATCGGAAGGAAAGTTGGGCAATCCTACTTCCGTAGTGATACTGCCTCAGAAACCCAAGGAGGGGTCACTATGAGTCGGGTCCAACTTGACGGCACACAACAGCAACAACAACATAAAGTGTCCAGCTTGTGTGTTTCCTGGCTCGTTTTCAGTGTATTGTATTTATCAATAATTTTATGTCAGTGTAAAGTTCTTTGTCACCATATTGCCTGACCTAACCCACTGCCATTGTGCTAATTCTGATTCATAGTGACAGATTAGAACTTCCCCATAGAGTTTCCAAGGATGTATGTAGATCTTTAGGGAAGCAGACTACCGCATCTTTTTCCTGCAGAGCAGCTGGTGGGTTCAAACCACCAGTCTTTTGGTTAGCAGTGGAACGCTTTAACCATAGCGCCACAGAACTCCTTTAGTGTACTGCATTTATCAATAATTTGATTTGTCTATGACAGGTTTTTACTCTCTAAATCACATTTGTATCTGCTTTTAAATTTACTTCTCTATTCCCAATTGCTCATTTCATTTTAACATTTTAGTTTGAATTTGGGGTTTGAAAAAAGCTTGGAACCACTTCTGTATTATGGAAGGAAACTAAAGCTGTTCCTTGCATAATATTGTCTCCATCCACCCCCCTCTCTGGGAACTGTAACAGGGCTGCAGTGAACATCCTGACTCCTGATAGTTCAGGAGTGGATAGCTGGCCCAACACATGCTGGTCAAAGACTTTTTGGACTTGGCAATCCAGAGAGTGGAATCAGTCTCTTCACTGCCAAACTCTGTACAATATAAAATTTGGAAGCTGCTGGCATGTTTTCACCCTGTGTAGAAAGACAGTGTTCACACAGAAGAATAGAGTTAATACATAGGAAGAAACAGATGAGAAACCAGATGGTGAATCCCTGACTTCAGTGGTTTCATAGGCCCAGCTGCATCCGTGTTGGTGCTGCCTTGGGGATTTTGCTCTTCCTTGGAGATGAGGAACACCCTCTCCTTGCACCACCACACACACCTTTTTAAAGCTTGCTTAAGCTGAGTTTTGGTCACTTGTAAATAGGATCCTAATTAACATATTATTAAAATAGATTCATGGAAAATCCACATCAAAGAAGATCAGTATGTGAATCTACCTTCTACAATTCAGCCGTCGCAGAATATATGACAGTTTTTTCTTTGTGGATTATGACCAAAATGGTTCCACTTCTGATTTAGGAAGCAATATTCACACTGAACTATTTCAGGAAAAGTCTGTGTGACATATAAAGTAAAGGAAGCTTTTACTTTTTAAAAAGTATGAAAGGAGGAAACAGTAGACTATTCAATGTGCCAGTAATTGGTCCTTTCAGTAATTGTGAGACAGATAATAGTATCCTCGTTTTACCAATGAGAATATTGAGGCTCAGAGACCAAAATAATTTGGCCAAGGTCCTACCAATATGTTACAGAACCTAAATGTGCCTGACTCAGAGTCTTTGCTTTTCTGGCACAGGCCTCTCTGCCCCTTTTGTAGATTTTTTTTTTTTCCCCCTGATTCAAAAACCTTGGAAAAGAATGCTCTGGGAATTTTTATCCACAGCATCAGAGACTAAAATGTGTTTTAATCTTTAATCTCTTATCCTAGAGTATGTTTGATAATTGATGATGAATTTGGAGAAAATAATGGTGATTTTTCACACAAGAAGAATGTGAAAAATATTGTAATTTACCAGTGATATAGAACACTTGGTGGTGTAGTGGTTAAGGCATTTGGCTGCTAACCAGATGGTTGGCAGTTCAAAGCTACCAACTGCTCTGCGGGAGGAAGATGAGGCAATCTAGTTCCATAAGATTTACAACCTTGGAAACCTAATGGGAGTTGCTATGAGTTGGAATTGACTCAGTGGCAATGGGTGGATTTTGGTTTATAGAGCACTTAGAATATGTGTGTTTATATGTATGTGTGTGTATGTATATATATGTATATATATATATATATATATATATATAGCTATATATAGAATGTTGTTGGTGTTGTTATGTGCCGTTGAGTCAGACCCGACTCATAGAGACCCCTCCTTGGGTTTCCAAGGCAGTATCACTACGGAAGTAGATTGCCCAACCTTCCTTCCGAGGAGTGGCTGGTGGGTTTGTGCCTTAGGCACTATGCTACCAGAGCTCCTGCACACATATGTATAGGTATATATTCTACATAGAGATATATGTATGTATGTACAGATATATGTGTGTATATATGTGTGTGCGCATATATATATATGCACACACACATATATATATACATACATACATATATAAAATCCTTGGTGATGCCGTGGTTAAAGCACTCAGCTGCTAACCAAAAGGTCAGCAGTTTTAATCCACCAGTCACTGTACAGGAGAAAGGTGTAGCAAATTGCTTCCGTAAAGATTTATAGCCTTATAAACCCTATAAGGTAGTTCTACTCTAGCATAGAGGGTAACTATGAGTCATAATTGACTTAATGGCAGTGGGTTTGATGGGTGGATATAGAGCATTTAGAATATATGTATTTATCTTAAGGTCAAAATAATTATAAGCTTTTTATTGTTTTTAACCTTAGAACAAGTATCGTTTTTTCGTAATTATTCATATACACATTCTTCTTTTTTCTCTGAAGTTGCATCTGATTTGGAGGCTCAGGTTTTAATTTGGCATACCCACCCACTGCTATCGAGTCATTTCCTACTCATAGCAACCCCCACTGGTTCTAAGGCTGTAAATCTTTATGGAATTACATTGCCTCATCTTCCTTCTGCAGAGCAGAGATGCAGAAGTGAACCCTAGATGGGGGTTGCTTAATATGCCTACTGTCCTTTCTGCTGGTCAGCCATATCTGCCACACTGGAGAGAGAGAGACCTACTCACCAAGCACTACTGAAAGAATGTATCCACCTTCTGATCTCTGTGTGCTTTACATCTTACAGCAGTTACATCTGCTGACCTTGAAAACCATCTTTTGTACTTGCCATGGAGTCACCAGATGGGAGTGTGGAGGTGTGTGTCCTGCTGAAGAAATTGATAGTAGTCTATGTATTTGTAGCAGAGCCCATATCAAGAATACTGAACAATCTAGATCTCCAGTATCCACTACAGTAGCCATGTCACATGTAGCTATAAAATATATTTAAATAAAATTAAAAATTTTGTTCCTCATTTGCACTTTTCACATTTCAAGTGCTCAGTAGCCACATGTAGCCATTGGCTAACATACTGGACAGTGCAAAATAAAGCATTTTCATTATTGTAGAAAGTTCTAACAGACCTATCATTAATAATTATAAGCTGAAGATGAAACATGGTCATACGATATGAAGAGACTCAAAGGTTCATAACAAAAAGCCCTTGCTAAAATAGTTAATATAAAATATATAAAATAACTATTTTAATTTCATAATCTCACTGAAATCCAAGGAGATAGACAAAAATTAATTAGACAAGTGTTTGAACAATTTGTCTTAGAAAGATCAGCACAAGGCTGGTCCCCATGAGGCAGAGGTTAAAGATGTCCCAAATGTCCAAATTACCATGCCACTCCATCATTTCAGACATTAACTCCTCCTCCCCCTCCCAGTAATCTCCCCCGTCTTAGGGTTCTGTATTTTGCTGTAACGCCTCACAGAACTCACAGACCCCCAAGGGATCATCTCACATAGTAGCGGTGGAGGTTGGCAGGCTGGCGAGTCCCAGGTCCATGAGTAGGTCTGGAGGATCCTCCCAATTCTCGGGGTTTGATGAACCTCGATCAGCAGATTAGATGATGGCTGCTGTCCCAAATCCAGGGTTGAGATGAGGACGAGCCAAAACACAAAACCGGAGCAAGAGGAGGGCGAATCTTCCCAGGAGATTCGTAGGTATACCCTCAAGGAAGCTAAGGGTGGTGATTTGAATTATACCCTCCAGCAAGGCAGGACTCAAGATACATTCAACCTGTGTTGCTCCAACAGAAATAACCCAAGTGGATGGCTTTAACAATCAGCAGCTCAAGGCAGATCCCACCACAGAGTCAATTGCCAGTCATTATAGGGAACAACTACTACCCATCCAAGTTGACGCCCTTCCTAACAGGCATGGATAATAGGATTTATAATACATCACCTAATGGAGGACAATGGTTAGAAGGGCCACATCAAGCAATTCACCGCAACAAGAATAGTCTGTTTTACAAAAGAAGTAATAACATCTTTAATCTGATCATTACTGACTCAAACATTTTTACTTTGTTTTTTTTTTTTTTTTAATTCTCAAGAACTTTCTTGTTTGAGATCACTTCTTTTGTAAAACAGACTATTCTTGTTGCGGTGAATTGCTTGATGTGGCCCTTCTAACCATTGTCCTCCATTAGGTGATGTATTATAAATCCTATTTATTAATGAATCAGAAATCATGCTAAAGTAATTCTTCCAGAATTCCTAGCAAAAAGAAAAAAAAATCATGAAGTACCAGGAATGATAGAAGTAGATATAAAATAAACCGTAGAAGAAAATGATCCTCAACTGAAGAAAGATCATAAGTAGGAAAAAGTAATGAATAAATTAACATCTAGACAAGACCTAGTTAAATTTCAGAATTTTAAGGGAGGAGAACCAAACCGGCATCAGACTTCTTATCTGGAATTCCAACT